ACGCAGGACTTGCCACTGCTGGTGGCTGTCGATCCAGTTCAGATCCCGGGCCGCCTTCATGGCCTCCTGATTTGCGGCCGTCTCCTGGAGCCGCTCGTGGAGGCTCATGAGCAGCTGCTTGAACAACATGATCTTTAAGGAGTACTGGATCTTGGTCGGCTCTTGCTCCTTCATCTCTCTCCACACTTCCGCTGCTCTGAAGAGTGTGGGGATTATATTCCCACTGTCCTCCCCCGTTTTCACGAAAAGGTGCATGACCAGGTCCTGGCGAACCGAAGCCAGGGTGCGTTCCTGTCTGAGAACCACCTGGGTGAGCTTCCTGAGATGGTATTGCAGGTGCTCCTCCGGCCGGTTGTCGTGCGAGCCCGTCCACGGGGGCCCGTGCTGGCCGTAACCATCGGCGTAGTCCTCCCATTATTGGTTGGACCATGTCGGTTTGGGCAATTGCTTGCCCTTTCCCTTGCCTTTTCCCCCCGGCTTCCCCTTGCTTTTGCCCTTTCCCTTGCCCTTGGGCTCTCTGCCTGCTTCCGTTCTCTGGCTTTTCTGGCTCTCCTCCGCCTTCAGATCCGATCCTCTCTTGGTGGAGAATCTCTGAAAGAACTGGGTCTCCTCTAGATCCAGGTCCATGTCCACTTGGGGCGACGGAGTCATGGCGAATCTGCAGGTAGGCGCAGATACTAAGAACAGGGCACTGGAACCAATGTCGATCCTTGTTAATGGCTTGTTGGTGGCAGTATCTGCAGGGTACGACGGTGTGTCTACGGAAGCCCTTCATAAGCTGTTTGGCGCGGTCCAGGCACTTGAGCCAGCACGAGTGCTGGGTAGCGAGATGGCGTTTAATGCTTGTAGTGTCAGCATGCCACTGGCTGCAAAGGGGGCACCTATGCTTAAGATACTCCTGGACCGAGGACTGGTTCAGTAGTGTAGTCCATGCACCTTTGGCCAGAGCATGGGCAACTAGCTGCCACTGGATGAGCGGCGGGGAGGATGAGGCCTGGACCATTCGGGGGACATCAGCTTCGGTCACAGAGGCTTGGTGAGGTTCAGGTGCTCGTTGTGTCCTCCGGGCGTGGCATCTGTGCCATCGAATATGCTGGGAAAGATTATGCCACCTTCTGAAGTCGTGGTGGCAGAAGGCGCAGATTGGCAATCCCTGAGTCCCGTGCGCAAGCTTATCGAAGACGATGGTACCTCCTTTGGGGGTGCGCTTCTTGTGGTGAGCGGCCTCGTGCACCCTGAGAAGGCGGAAGGATCGAAAATGTTCCCCACAGTCCTGACAGGTGTATGCATCCAGGCCAGCGGCATCCGCAGGCTCCGTCTCTTCCCCAGTTGTCACACATTTAGCCTGCAAGGAGGCGGCCGTCTCTCGGACCATGTCCCTGACCTCTGCGGCCAGCGGGTGGAGCTGGTTCTGCAAGTTAAGAAGGGTATGACACAGTGACTCGGCTTCGGACGCCAGTCTGAGCTGAAGTGGCTGAACCCCGATCCTTGCAAGCAGCGTGGCGGTGGGTTCCTTGCTCAAGTGGGCGAATGATCTGGTAATGGCCCGAAGGTGCCTTGTGGCCACATGCTGCATACGCTGAATGTCTTTATGTCCCGGGGATGAGGCTGCCACGCCGTAGAGCATGGTTGGCAGGACGGTGGACTGCCAAAGTTTGACCCGCTCCTGTGTGGGGAGAGAAGATTGCGAGCACAATATTTTCCGGAGGCGCTGCCACGTGCCATTGGCCTCTTGCAAACGGTGGGTGACCGTTTGTTTGGACGGTGAGTGGTAGCCGATGACGACTCCCAGGTAGACATGTTTGTCCTTCAGCGGGAATTCAAATAGTCGAGCCTTGGGAGTGCGGATCCGGATGACATCCCCCTCCGGTGTGCGGACTAGGTGCTGTTTCAGCCATTTGCGCGCGAAGTGACCTCTGTGACGCAGCAGGAACGCTGACTTTTGGGTATTGATCTTCATGCCATGGTCAATAAGCGCATCCAAGACCGAGGCGAAGCGATGATGTGCACGCTCAAGTTCTCGGTATGACACTGCTGTATCCTGTAGCAAATAATCATCCGCGAAGGTGGTCGCGCCTTGCGCAAGCCACTGCGGGTCGAGGATTGCCTCCAGACGTCTGTGTAAGAATGCGGTGAGAAGAACCCATAGTAATGGTGCTATTTTGCATCCTTGGCGTAGTCCGCGTGTAGCCGAGACTGAGGTGCGGAGCCTCAGGTGTTGGATGTGATATTTGAGGGAGTTATAGCAGTCAGAGACCCACGCTTTTATATCTTGAGGCACATCCGCGTCCTCGAGCGAGTCCTGCAGCAAGCTCCAATCAACCAAATCGAACGCGCTTGATAGGTCCAACGAAAGTTGACATCCGGCATAGGCCTT